TGGGCCATGGGCCTGATCCAGCAGCCTCTTCTTGTGTTCTTAACGTAGAACAGTAGCAGAGGAGGGGAATCAGGGTTTCCAGGTGAAGCTGACCTTCTGATCGGCAAGTCCTAGGCTCTGTGGTTTAACCCACAGCGCCACCCGCGTCCCTTTGTAGCAATATAGCAAGTGGGGAAATGAAGAAGGGAGAATCAACAAAAGATCCATGAAAATGTCAATGAATATCAAGCAATACTCATTGGTTAAAATCATGATGCCTGTTTAAGCAAACCAACAAAGCTTTCCAAAGATCTCTGAAGGAAGGGAGGGCCAATATCCGCCCTCCCTTCCCCACAGGTGGGCAGGGTTTGCAGCACAGAGCGAGGCTCACCTGGGCGGGTGCCACCCACCTGCTTGAGCTGGCCTTTGACCCGCCCTCGGCCAGGGAAGACAATGGACGGCAGGCAAGGGCCTAAGGCTCAAGCCTCTTTTGCTGTTCTTACGCAAAGCCTTATCTGCTTGCGGTGTTAGTCCCCAGGAATATTCCGGGCACTCGTTCCATATTGGGGCTGCCACTTCAGCGGCGATACAGGGTTGGGACCCCGCACACATCAAGACACTGGGGCGCTGGCGCTCAACAGCCTACAAAAGTCACATTCGTCCCGGCTCCTCCTCCTTATCACTTGCAATTTAATTGTCTTACAGGTTTGCCCACCATGAAGATCTGGGTTATAGGCCACAGCATTGTCCATTGGGCAGCGGATTATGCACAGTCTCAAAATCGTGGCCATAACCTTAACATCCACCCCAAGGTACGCTTTTGTTGGATGGCCCAGCGGGGCATGCGTTGGCGGAGCTTGATGCCCATGCTGCGTAGTGCCGCAGCGACCCATGGCCCTCCAAGGGTCTTGATTACACTGGTCAACAACAAATTTGTTGTCTGCGTTTTTTTCAGCTGATTTAGGACGAATCTGATGCACTGAATCCAAAAATCACATTGGTTTTGCTCAGTCAGGTCAAGTTTTTGAGTTCTGGCCACATGTCATTTTTTTACATTTTTATTCACATGTACGCTTGTGTGGAGCATTTTAGAAGAAGTTGGTGGGGGTAAAATGGCATGTCGAATAATTGTTTTGATTGGAAATGATTATTTTAATGACAAGAAGTATTCAGGTTCGATAGTTCTGGGTGATTATGTCGAAAAGGGATCAGTTTGAAGCCATAAAACCTCGAAATCTTCCATAAATTGGTGCGGCAAAGCATAAAGTTGGGGGATCAAAACCCCTGGCTCACTCGAGTACACTGAAGGAGAACTATGAAGGGGTGAAGTATGTGCTGGAGAAAATTGGTTATGATCAGCATGATCAGCCTAGCTTCCTTCCGGGCTTGAGAATCTCCGCAGCCAGTTATTTCCTCCCAGCCTAACCTGCCTCGCACCACACAGTTGTGCTGCGCTTGCCTGTGCTTTTGCTGGTTTTGTAAACTGCTTTGAGGTTTTTTGTTCTACAATCAAGCAACACATACTTTTCATGAAATAGTGAAATGGAAACATGGCCACCTGCCCAACCTGAGGAGGTGTGTGCAGATCAGGAAATCTCCAAAAACAGATTGGGTTTTCGTTGGAAAGGGGACAACACCTGCTTCTGGTGCTCGTGAGCAACAGTGAGTGAGTGTCAGTTGCAATCAAAGTGTACTTCCTGCATTGCGGGGGTGGGCTGGATGACCCTTGGGGATCTCTGAAGCCTACAATTCTCTAGAATCTGAGGCAAACTGACAGAGTGTTTAGCTTGGGTGTTGGTGCCAAATGAAGGCCTTTCTGTGGCAAATAGCCTAGATTGGCATAGATTTTTTCTTTGGGCCTTTCCCTGAACCCATAAATTTGGGACTTGCTTCCAGAAAAATGTGCAGGACAGACCTGCAGCCATTCCATGTAAAGAGAAAAGACCAAAGAGAGAGGAGAGAGAGACCTCTATGCTGACTTGCCCATTTCAGGATAGTTTCACCCAGGTTCCAAAATGTCACACTGATCTCAACAAAATTTATTTCAAGTGAGTGTGCATATAGCCATAGCCTTATATTACTGCTAAGTTTGCTTCAGATGATTCAATTGGTTTCACTTCTGCCCTGTGTGTTTGCCAAAGGACTGGCAGTGGACTTTTTCGCTTGTTCTTAAAGACCACAAAGACCACAGAGAGAGCAACTTGTGTAGGGGAAACTTCTGCACCAAATGCATCAGCGAACCCAATGCACCCAGGTATCTCTGCCCTGTGTGAGAAAGAGAGTGGTTGCCAGTCAGTGCAGAGTAGCCTTTCTCCACCTTGGGTCACCCAATGTTTTGGGAATACAAGACCCATCATCCCTGACCACTGGTCCTGCTAATGAGGTCCTGACCACTGGTGGTTTGGGCATGCTGCAGGCCCTGTGGTGAGTGCCGCCCAGCATTTTGTCACCCTCCTCAGTGGTGACGCCCAGGGTGGCACCCACCCACCGCACCCGCTTCCTCTGCCCTTGCCTGCAGAGACAATGGAATGCATCCCTCCTGTCATAACCCTGTTTTTATCAAGGGGCAGAGTTAAGAGCTTTCAGCAGCAGTAGCAACCTCCAAGGATGCTGTGTTTTGATAATCAGTTGGTCTTTGTTTCAGGCTGCTTTGGGCACCATTCAGTGCAGTGACATAGTGTATGAGCACACTCAACTAAACTTGCCATTTGTGGGCACTCATAGAATCATAGAATCATAGAGTTGGAAGAGACCACAAGGGCCATCGAGTCCAACCCCCTGCCAAGCAGGAAACACCATCAGAGCACTCCTGACATATGGTTGTCAAGCCTCTGCTTAAAGACCTCCAAAGAAGGAGACTCCACCACACTCCTTGGCAGCAAATTCCACTGTCGAACAGCTCTTACTGTCAGGAAGTTCTTCCTAATGTTTAGGTGGAATCTTCTTTCTTGTAGTTTGGATCCATTGCTCCGTGTCCGCTTCTCTGGAGCAGCAGAAAACAGCCTTTCTCCCTCCTCTATGTGACATCCTTTTATATATTTGAACATGGCTATCATATCACCCCTTAACCTCCTCTTCTCCAGGCTAAACATGCCCAGCTCCCTTAGCCGTTCCTCATAAGGCATCATTTCCAGGCCTTTGACCATTTTGGTTGCCCTCCTCTGGACACGTTCCAGTTTGTCAGTGTCCTTCTTGAACTGTGGTGCCCAGAACTGGACACAGTACTCCAGGTGAGGTCTGACCAGAGCAGAATACAGTGGCACTATTACTTCCCTTGATCTAGATGCTATACTCCTATTGATGAGGCCCAGAATTGCATTGGCTTTTTTAGCTGCCGCGTCACACTGTTGGCTCATGTCAAGTTTGTGGTCAACCAAGACTCCTAGATCCTTTTCACATGTACTGCTCTCAAGCCAGGTGTCACCCATCTTGTATTTGTGCCTCTCATTTTTTTTGCCCAAGTGCAATACTTTACATTTCTCCCTGTTAAAATTCATCTTGTTTGTTTTGGCCCAGTTCTCTAATCTGTCAAGGTCGTTTTGAAGTGTGATCCTGTCCTCTGGGGTGTTAGCCACCCCTCCCAGTTTGGTGTCATCTGCAAATTTGATCAGGATGCCCTTGAGTCCATCATCCAAGTCGTTGATAAAGATGTTGAATAAGACCGGGCCCAAGACAGAACCCTGTGGCACCCCACTAGTCACTCTTCTCCAGGATGAAGAGGAACCATTGATGAGCACCCTTTGGGTTCGGTCAGTCAGCCAGTTACAAATCCACTGAGTGGTAGCATAGTCAAGACCGCATTTTACCAGCTTCTTTACAAGAATATCATGGGGCACCTTGTCAAATGCCTTGCTGAAATCAAGGTAGGCTACATCCACTGCGTTCCCTTCATCTACCAGGCTTGTAATTCTGTCAAAAAACGAGATCAGGTTAGTCTGACATGACTTATTTTTCAGAAATCCATGCTGACTATTGGTGATCACAGCATTCCTTTCTAGGTGCTCACAGACTGTTTGCTTAATGATCTGCTCCAGAATCTTCCCTGGTATTGATGTCAGACTGACTGGGCGGTAATTATTTGGGTCCTCTCTTTTCCCCTTTTTGAAAATAGGGACAACATTTGCCCTCCTCCAGTCTGCCGGGCATCTCAGTTGGCATCTCTGTGGTTGGCAGTGATGGGAAAACAGAACTGAGATGTCTGTAAGAAGCTGGTGAGGTAGGCAAGGGGGCTTGGCTTAGCTCAGGCAAGGGACTGTTGGATGGCCTCCTTAAGTACAACTGATAGCCAGTTTTGACGAAGAGCAAAGAACTGAAGAGGTTGTGCCTCAACCTACCAGGCACTTTCTTGGCAGAAACAGTGACATCGCAGAGGGGTGTGTGAGATGGGTACCTGAGGGGGTATGGAAATCAGCAGCTCTGCAACTTACATCCATTGGAGGGGTCGGGCCTCTGAGCACCCCAAGTGCCTCACAAACAGGCAGACTTCAGAGCCAGCTCTAGGTGGGTGCTGGTGTGGTAGGTTCTTTCATGGAGCTTTGACTGTGTTAGGCCATGGAAGGCTGGGATGCTAACGAAACTGCTCCATGGAGTAAATATTGTGGGAGTTTAGAAATCAAATCTAAAAATGCATATTCTTACTAGTAAGCAAGTGTGGGGATTAAAATCACAGAGCAGTATTGCTGTTAGGTGGACTCAGATCAATGCAATTGGTAGAGAAGGCTCTGTGTTATTTCATTTCCCCTCCTCTCTTGGTAGGGAAGAAGAAAAAAAGTATTTTCTGTCCCCGTCCCCCCCTCTCTCTCTCCAACCAGCCAATGGGAGAAGACTTGTATCTGCTTGCTCCAGCATCAGGCTCATGCCTGAGGCTGCTTTCACTGTAAATACAAGTATTTTACCTGCATTTATTTTTACTGCTGTTGTTGCTAAGGACAGGTGCTTGACTGTGAGTAAACTATGTGTTTTAACCATACTTTTCAGTCGGTGGCCTGTTTCTATAATAAACAGGGTAACAGAAGGGGGAGATCAGCCTAAAGGCTTTTATTTTTACTGTTTAAGATGCTCATCACTGTGCTTCTAAACACAAGCGATAAGCTGATGTTTTGTCTGTTGGTCAGGTTTGTGGAGGAATAAAATATAGTTAACATATTCCCTCACCTACATGGTAAACCCTAACCAACATCTACCATAATGTGAAATCAAGCCATTCCAGGAGGTGTGCCGGAAGCTGAGGAGTGAGGGAGCAAATCATTCGATTCTGCTCCCTTGCCTCAGCCATGACCCCTCTGGTGGTGGGCAGACTGGGGGGTAGACTTCCTAGAAGCCTTCTCTTCCACAGTAGCCAGGCCTGTATAGTCATTGCATTGCTGGTGGTGCCAGATCACAGGGTCTTTCTCAGAGCAGCGAGATACCAGGTCAGAGCTCAATCTGGCTTTATTGCTCTTCAGTTGTTGGCAATTGTGTAGTGGATCCAGTCTTCAAAGATGCAGACCTTGGTGTACAGCCCCAGCCGGTTCTCTTCACTGCAGCTTTTCTTCCAGGACAGCAGTCCTTGGAGGGCTTCTTCACACACCAGGGGGCTGCCCACATCTCCCTAAGACATAGACAACAGCATTGGGACTCTCCAGGGGACAGGATCAAATCATGGCAATTTCTCACTGTTGTTATTTGAACTCTCAGGCCCTGGAGCACTGCCTGCAGCAGGAGAGAGGGAGCTGTGTGAGGCTTTCCCCAGCCACAAGTACCTCCCAAGAGGTTGGCTCTTGCAGCTGGAGAATTTCCCTTCCCCTGTTGGGGTGGGTGTGCGCTTGCGCTTACAGCCCCTCTGTCCCTCTCTAGAATGCGGGAATGACATAAATACTATTTAACTTTGATATGGGGAGGATTTGGCACATGGCTTTTTATTGTACTTTTCAAATATATTATGCTTTGTTGTTTAGTTCTGGTTAATGTCTGGCCAGTAAGCTACTAGCCTGCCTACGAAGCATGCTTGTGCTTGTGAGTGAATTGGTTGGAGACAGCTCTAGTTTGAAGGGAAGCATTCATCTATGGTGTGTGTGGATGCGCATAATTAGACCATGTTACTGAACTCAAAATCAGGGACACCTATACAACCTTACCTCCCACCAAAAAGTGCAGGCGCAGGGGGCCACCAAAACCACACCTCTCACCCATGGCTTGAAGTGGCTAGGAGCACACATGCCCATCTGGGAGGCCAGGCAAGGCATGCAGGCTCCTCTAGGCACCCATCTCATCAGCCCTGCAGGACCATCTCCCAGGTTGGCCAGTGGTGATATTGGAACTGTGAGTGGAGCGCCAAGTGACACTTGGATAGAAGAAAGATAGAGACAGCAGGTGAGAGTTGCAGGAAGAGAAGGAGGGAGAGAGGAAGAAGAGCAGTGCTGATGGTCATGGAGGAAATCACAGGCAGAGCATGAAAGGTGACAAAAAGCAAACTTTTGGAGTTTCTGGTCCATGGTCTCTCCCAGCTTCACATGTACTGATACAGCTTCTGGCCAAGATCACAAGGGAGTCAAGGTATGCCTCTGCTTGTTTGCTCCCCACCCCCCCCCCACCCCAATCACTGGACTTGCCAGTAAAAAGAGAAGAGCCTCACCTTGCAGGCATCTTGGCTGCTGTCCAGCTGTCCAGCACAAAGCATCCTCTCAGTGAACCGTCCTGGGTAGACATTGTTGCAAGTGGCATCAGATGTGACTGGAAGGTAGGAGCACTGCAGAAGGTTGTCTGTTCCATCAGCTGTAAGCCCAAAATATGTTGATCCTGAGCAGCTGCCTGGGGCAAGGCAGGAGGGAGACTCTTATGCTCAGGCCTCACCCCTCTCTCCTTGAGCTCTTTCTGCTTCAAGGGGGCACTGCCACCTGCCATGAATCTATCATAGTACAATGAATTGTTGGTGCCTCCCTCCCACCATTTGCCGTTCATCTACCCTTCCCTTTTTTGCATGGTGTCATTTATCCCATGCATCACTAAGGAACTTCAGTGCCCCCTTGCGCGTCCCCACCATAATCCCCCACGGCCACGAAGAGGGGCATCTTCCAGCAACCCCCTGCTCCAGTCTGTCACAGTTGTTGCTGGTCCTGGTTAGTCTCTCAGCACCACCCTCTCTGTACTCACAGTTGCTGCTGATCCATTCTGAAGCCAGGCACTGGGTCCCAGCTATGGCACATTGGCTGGGCAAACTGATGGGCTGCACTAGCTCACCCAGGACAGCTGGTTGTGCAAGCTTGATGAGCATGATGTCATAGTCCAGTGTGTAGTTGTTGAACTGCTTATGAGGGACCAGCTTGGCAGCAGCAATGACCTGTTGCTTCTCCTTAGGAAGAGTCTCAGGGACTTGTAGGCCAAGCCAGACCTCCATGTGGTCTGGGCTGCTGGAAGAAGAGCAGGTGGGTCAATAGTGTTCTCCCTAGAGTTTTTCTGCCTCAGCCTGGGTTGAAAGATTCCTTGCTCACCCTCAAGGATTCTTGTAGGCAGGCAGTCAAATGCACAAGTTGCCCTCCTATTTCAAATGAGAACAGAGCAGCCAACAGCAGAGAATGGACTTTATTCCCTGTGGGAGACAGATTGTGTGCAAAGGGTGTGAAGCAGGCTTATACCCACCTCCTGCTGCACTGAGCTGAGGACAACACCCATTCTTGGCTGATGAGGGCCCCACTGCAGACATGGTGCACTGACTGGAGGGAGACTTCCCATGGCACAGAATCTTGTTGGCACTTGGCACTACCAACCAACTTCTCAGCAGCTGCAACAGCTCAATATATAATTGGTAGAGGGGAAAATCAAGACTTCTTCAATGGTTAGGAACATGCTAAAATGCAATGTGGCCTCGTGAACTCAGGAAATGGTATCCAGCCTATCCCATGACATCTGTCAGCCAGACTACGGTAGCTAGATGAGGGCGCTGCATGCAATCTCTTCCTGCTAGTAAACAAAGGCTCAACTTTTTGCCACCATATCCTGCTTTCCACCTCCATCTCCCCACATAGGAATCCTTTGAATTATTGGTCTCATATTGCAAGTATGTGTGGCTGGCAACTGTTCCTGATTAATTTCTGCCAGAGTTCTACATACCATCACTCATACTGCTAAAATAAAAGCCACAGTTTTAAACCACAGGAAAGATCATAATGTATTATTGTAGACTATTCCAAAACAGTAACTATAACAAGTAACTATATAGTACACTGCTGGTTTGCCCCATGTAATAGTGACATTTCCTCTTTGTACAATCAGCCCAAATAACTGACTGCTTTTGATTATTCTGATATGAGCTGTTAATTTATTTTCTTACAACCATATATATGTACTGTATATGTGTATTATTATTATATATGAGAATAAAATCAGCATGAAAACATCATTAAAATGCCAATAAATACTAATTAGTTAACAGAGTTGAGATTCCTGCATTGCAGGGGATTGAACTAGATGACCCTAGGGCAGTGTTTCCCAAACTTTTTTGGGCAACGGCACACCTGTTTACTGAAAAAAAATCTCGCGGCACACCACCATTAAAGCCCCGCCCCGTGATGTCAGCGCGCAGCGTCACGCCGGGAGGGACGCACGAAAGTGAAAGTTTTTTCCCTCCCCCTTGCCGGGGAACCTCCAAGCTTTGGGGGTGGGAGGAGGCAGCAGAGCGAGGGACTGAGGGACGGCGGCAACTGAGGCGGCGGCGGCTGTGGTGGTGGTGGCGGCGATAGCGGGCGGAGGAGGGGGCGGCGGCGGGGCTTGAGGAGCCGTCGCCGGGAGTTGCTGCTGCTGTTGTTGCTGCTGCTGCCCGGACATGCCGGCCTCCTCCTCCTCCGCTGTCTCGCGCTCCTCCCTTTTGCACGCGCTGCCCCGCCGCTCGGCACCACCACCGCGGAGCCGCCCCCGGCTCGACGCGGATCCTCGCCGCCGCCGCCTCTCGCCGCCCGACTCGCCCGCCTCCTTCCCACGGCACACCAGCCAATGTCTCACGGCACAGTAGTGTGCCGCGGAACACCGGTTGGGAAACACTGCCCTAGGGGTCCCTTCCAACTCTACAACGCTATGAAAGAAGATTCATGTTACAAAGGCTTCTCTAAACATTAAAGTTTTCAAAAGATGTCTGAAGGGAGGGATGGCTCTTGGTGGCAGGGAGTTCCACAGGGCAGTGGCTGCCACACCAAAGGCTCAATCCCTAATGACGTCCAGCTAAACTTCAGGGTTCATTGGGGTGAGGAGACCAGCCTATCCCATGACATCTGTCAGCCAGACTACGGTAGCTAGATGAGGGAGTGCCCCATCAACAGATGTTGGTGGACACGTTGGGAAGTAAGTACTTTGGGGTCTCATGGTACTTTGGGACCGAGTTGCTTAGGGATATGCCAGTTTCACACACTGTTACAAAACAAATTCAGTGATGGACAGCACAGATTGACCAAATGCTGCTATGGTAAGTCTAACACCACTGAGCTTTTTTAATAAAGTGGGACTGGGTGAATAGTCTGAATGGTCAGTGTAGAGAGTGGGTTTTTGGGTTGTATCCAACTAAGTAATACTCAGAGTAGTCCCACTGAAATCAGTGGACTTAAGTTAGGCATGCCCATTAATATCAGTGGGTTAAATCTGAGTATGACTGACAATGGTGATAGCCCTCCTGCATTTCTGTTTCCTGGCTTAACTGCCTGGTTCTCCTTCCCCTCCTCTGTTGCCAGGACACCTCTACTTGCACACTGAAATCTTAGCCCTCTTCTGGATTGATGGCCGTGGATTTGCATTCCAGCTTCTGTACTGCAGTTTTGTTCATCCTCACCCAACATTTCATGACTATTCTTGGGCAGATAAACTGTCCAGATTTTGGGGGGGGGGGTTGTACCTGCAAGAGCCGCCAGCAGTAAACTGCAACCCAGCCACAGCATGTTTTCTTCTCTCAAACTGGCCTCACTGAGAATGCGGAGTCCTGTGTGCACCTGGAAGTCGTCTAATCTCCCAGAGAAGAGAAGAAAGAATGTTTGCACAGCTTTCACATTGACTCTTGTCCACGCAGTTAGGCTATTTTTAGTAACATTTCTGAAGGAGATAAGATTGCTGCTCCTTTGGGTTTGTAGGAGGTCTGGGCTGTAGGTTCCCCAAGTTTTCAGAGTGTTTTGTATTCAGACCCAGCATTGGGGCATTGAGCAGCTCTTTCAGCCTAACAACTCATCAGTAAAAACAATTACAGCCTAGAAAATACTACAGTGGTACCTGAGGCGCACTTTCACTAATGAGGCCTCCCGCTGCTGCCGCCCGCTGGCACGCAATTTCAGTTCTCATCCTGGGGCAAAGTTCTCAACCCAAGGTACTACTTCCGGGTTAGCGGGAGTTTGTAACCCAAAGTGTTTGTAACCCGAGGTACCAGTGTATAAACAAAGCGGCAACAAAAATACGCTAAACATTACAATTACAGCAAAAGTCATATTATATGATTAACAAAGCATTTATAATCTATAAAACAGTATTAGCAACTAAAAAAATAAACCATGCACTGTTAATATACGCACTCTCCATGCCCCCATGACTCATAATCTTTCACTCTATTCAGTTCATTAAAATAAACATAATGTCCATTGCTTAGGCAGCCTAGCCAGATGCTGTAGCAGCTGGTATCCTCAGGTGGTGGGCCAGGGTGGAGACAGTGGGACATAGACCAACATCTACCTTTGGGTAGCTCTTCCAGGTGCTGTTGATGAGGAACTTGTCCATGTCACCCTCAATAATCAGGAGGTCAATTCCCACTCAAGGAAGTCCAAGATGAGCCTGCCCTCCAGAGCAGCAATCCTGCTGACATGTGCTTGAACAACTTCTTCTGGCTGCAATATAGGTGTGCTATGAATTTGGGAGGGGGACCCCCCAACCCCAAGAAAATAATGAATGATAGGGTTTTGATTCATAGGGTCATTGTCCAACCCCTTGCAATGCAGGAATTTCAATTAAAGCATCCATTTGGAATATGAAGGGAAAATACAGACTGCAGAGGAATTATGGGCAAGCTTATGCAAAACAACCTAGGGCTACTAAGAAGCGATGCAGGGTCACTGAGGGCCATTGGTAATGCAAGAGAACTGTCCTTTCCCCCTGCCCAGATGTACAAACAGAGACAGGAGATTTGGAAGGTTACCGGGGTAGCAGAGCATGATGTCATATGTAGAGTTGGGGGCTGAGAACAAAGGAGAGAACCATTTTGGCAGGATGGCTGAAGGGAGGCTGGGAGAGATGCCCTGGACTCCAGTGCTGCACTGCTGTGGGGAACAAACCCCTCTTGGATGACCACGTTGTTAGATCTGGACTCCTTCCATCCAAATTCAGGTGTAGATATGTCAATATATCATATTTCTTAAAGCTACAACAGCCTCCTCCATGCCTTCATTCTCAAGGGAACACAGACCCTGGGTAAGTGCCTGGGACTCCCCTGGACTCTTGCCAAACCTCAGCAGAGATTGTGGGTGGCATCCAACCAACAGGTGTTATATAGATGTATTTATTTTGTGGAAAGATAACAAAGCAGTTCTGATATGTTTCAGGGACTTTCCTCTCTCAGTTATTAAGCTGGCATTTGGGAATGCTACAGGCAAGGTTTTCCAGGCCCCCATAGGCATCAGGCATCTTCCACATAAAAGACTGAGAGCCAGTGTGGTGTAGTGGTCAAGAGCGGTGGACTCATAATCTGGTGAACCAGGTTTGATTCCCCGCTCCTCCACCTGCAGCTGCTGGGTGACCCTGGGCCAGTCACACTTCTCTGAAGTCTCTCAGCCTCACTCACCTCACAGAAAATTTGCTGAGGGGGAGGAAGGGAAAGGAGGTTGTAAGCCACTTTGAGACTCCTTACGTAAAGGTAAAGGGACCCCTGACCATTAGGTAGGTCCAGTTGTGACTGACTCTGGGGTTGCAGCACTCATCTCGCTTTATTGGCCAAGGGAGCCAGCGTACAGCTTCCGGGTCATGTGGCCAGCATGACTAAGCCGCTTCTGGTGAACCAGAGCAGTGCACAGAAATGCCATTTACCTTCCTGCCGGAGCGGTACCTATTTATCTACTTGCACTTTGGCGTGCTTTCGAACTGCTAGGTTGGCAGGAGCCAACTCCTTAGGGTAGTGATAAAATGGGATATCAAATCCAAAATCCAATCTCTCTTTTCTTCCTTCCAAAAATAATCTAGAGCTGAGAATTGCTGGCAGTCTGTGAGTGCTGTTGGGATGGCCTCATATTCCTGTTGCAACTGCAGTGTGGCTTTGGCGCTGGCTGCAGCTGCAAACCTACTTCTCCTCCAGCTGCTGCTTCATTACCTTCATGAGGCACTGTGACACTTCTGTAACCGGGACCAAACCCTGCAGTTTCTGCACACAGAGTAGCAGACCATGGTGGACAGCTTGGAAAAGGGTCTATAGCAGCTCAGGACAGGAGCCCAGCAAGGGGCTCACAAGCCTTCTGGTTGAAAGCCACAAGCAGTTAATTGAAATCAGAAGCCCCCAGCTTTGGCATCCTCAGAGGATGCAAGTGCACCGCCTCCTATGCCTCTCTCAGGATTTCCTCATGCACAGAAGTCACAAGCAGAAGGTAGCTTTTCTGCATTATTTCTTTCCTCAACAGGAGGGCCTTCGGGTCCCAACTCCAAGAGTGACATTTAAACAGTTCAAAATTAAACAACTGCCCCATCCATTCCCCCTTTCCCATCATTCTCTTCTTCACACTCCCAAATCTCTTCCTGAAAGGGGAAGGGGCGGCTTTTGTCTCTCCCCTCTGCAAGGACCTGATGAATCTTCTCTTTATTCAGGAAGAACTTTCTGATAGCAAGAGCTATTTGACAGTGGAACACTCTCCCTTAGGAGAATGTGGACTCTCTTTCATTGAAGGTTTTTAAACATTGGTCATCTGTCATGGGTCCCTTGCAACTTTACAATTCTATGATTCTATCATTCTGCCAGAGGTGTACTGGGGAGAAGGGGGAGTCCCAGGGCTGCAGGGGGAGGATGCATGGATCTCCTGCCCTTCTCATGTAGGAGAGAACTAAGTCAGGGAGCCAAGGTTCCTCCCTCTCTTCCTCTCTGCAAGGCCTGGGAGGGGGCAAGTTTGCAGGAGGTCTGCAATGATATTCTTCATTCGTATCAATATGCTGCTTGCAGGGGCAAAACTAGGCTTTCTTTCAGCAGGGTCAAAAATGGTAAAAGTCTGCAAGCCTTTACGCAATGACCTGGGAGTAAGCTCCATTGAATTCAGTGGGGCTTACTTCTGAGTAGACATGTTGCAGTGAAAGGCTCAATTTACAATAAACACTCCACAAGTTTCCTTTAAAAATTGCTGGTTGTGCTGAACCATTCCATTTAAAAAATGTGAGGTGGATTGGCTACATTTTTCTTCAAAATTACAAGAATGCAGGAATCTCAACTAAATGAATCTCCATGACAGATGGCCATCCAACCTCTGCTTAAAGACCTCCAATGAAGGAGAATCCACAACCTTCAGAGGGTAAAGAGATGGCAGAGGCTAATGTATCAATAAGATAAAGAGATATAAACAGCAATAAAGGATATTGCTATTAACAGAGATAAAACTGATGTGCACACATTCGTTTCATTGCTTTGACACATTTGGTAATTTTTACAAGTTACAAAATTGTATAAAAGGGTTGGCAATGCATATGTTCGAGGCCTGAGGCCTTTGGGTTTTGACCTGGAGTTACTGACTGCTCCTGTAGAATTAATTCAATCAATAAAGTGATACCTCTTAGGTGCCTTACTGCTTATCTCTGGTCTTGACAGTATATTTAAGACAACTAAAATCCTACCTAGGAGAAACTGCATTTCCATGACAAGGAGATTTTAGTTCCTTTAAATTTTAAAGGGCGGGGGCATTTAAATTTTAAAAAGCTGCTATTAGCTGCTATCACTTTTGGAGCTATGTTTGTGCGTTGTGAGAAGGCACATATCTACATGGATTGTATCTCTAACACCAAGAAGCGTTTGTTTATTAATATTTATTTATTAGATTTATATTCCGCCCTTCATCACAAGATCTCAGGGCGCTTCACAAGTTTAGAAATCAGGTGAGAAATCCAGGATTGTACAATAAGTGCAACTGGGAACCAGTGGATCCCCACCACCACCACCACACCGACGGGCTCAGAGGAGGCCAGTCTTCCGAACTCACATGGCATTGCATGGTTTGGGCCAACACACACACACATATCATATATGTAATATATATATAGGTGATATATATCTCACCTTTTCCCCATCCCAGCACAACTCGTTACCAGAGCCTGAGCTGGAAGGGAGCAGCTTACAACAGCCCAGCAATGAAGCTCACTCCGACTGCCGCCTCCTGCAAACCGGTTTGAGAGACCGGATTCCCGCTGCCACAAACCAGGCCAGCCTTATGAGACCCCATTGCAGCTGGAGGTTGGGCTGTGGAGAGGAATGCGCACAACAACCCTGCAGGGTCCTCTGCCGTGGCTGCTGCTGCTGCTGCGAGAGAAAGCGCTGAAATGACCTTAGCTGTCTTGTTTTTTTAATAGTTTTTTTAATTAAGAAAAAAATTCTTTCATAATAAAGTCCCAAAGCTTATTACAACTATTATAAATGTACAGTAAAAAAGAATTAAAATTGCAGAGGACATCAGCTAACTATTACAGAAAATGACACAGAAAAGTTTTTAGCAAATATATAAGTTTTTTAAAATGTATTTTTATTAAATATTTCTTGATTTACGAAAGTATGTGCAATGTCTCTTTTTTCAAGTTACATATTCTACAGATCAGTTTCATTTTTTGAGACAGTAGTGTTACATTAGAAAGAAAAGGGGGAAAGAGGTGGAGGGGGCCATGGTGGGTGGGGTTAGGGTCAGGTGGCGATGTTTCTCTTTTACATTTGTGGGGTTTGGCGTCAGCATCGTTTGTGCAGGTTCTCTTTACTATTTGCTTGTGTTCCTTTGGTGGTGGGAGAGGTTGGGGTTGGCCATGGGTGTGTGAGTAGGGGCTGGGGGTGTTTCTGAATCAGGTTAGCCAGAGGGATTCCTTTGCTGTTGGTGGATTTTTGTCTTTGTCTTCTTGGGCTGTGAATGTGATAGAAGGGAGCCATACAGGGTGAAGGTGTCTTCTTCTATTTGTCCCCATATCAGTTTCAGTTTGTTGGTTAGTTTTCCAAGAAACATAGCTGTCAACTTACAGATTTGAAAATAAGGGACCAGCAGCCTTGAAAATAAGGGATTTTAGTCTACCAGCTGAAATATGAAGTTAAAAGGGACCAGATAATTTTGGAGAGCAGCGCCGGTTTTTAGCCCTTCGTTTCCAGAGGTTGCTGCTCAAGACACCAGCCGATGAAACACTGCAATTAAAGAACTACAAGCAGCAACCACTTTTCGCGCAAAACGAAGTCCAAGCTACGAAGATGCTGCTGCAGTTCTGTATCTTTTCTCTCGTGCTCCATCTGCAGCTCTCAGTTCCATCAGGCGGGGCGGGAGGAAGGGGGGGGGAATAGCGCCCCAAGTAAACCCGCAGATCAGACCATCTATGCTAGTCTATCACTACAAAACTATGGGAGAAGCGCTTGCGGTCCTTCCCTTGTAGCCCTTGGAACGCCTGCCTGCCTGCCTGCCTGCGCCTCCTCCTCCTCCTCTCCTCCACTGCTTTCTCTATGGTTGCCCCTCAGCAATTCCTGGGCCGCGCCAGGCAGAGGCGCTGAGTTCAGGGGCTGCGAGGAGGATGGCGGCGGAAGGGCCCAAGGCTCCCGCCAGTCCCGGGGGCCGAGGCCGGGCAGCCAAGCAGCACCGCTGGAGCCTCCCTCCGCCCTGGCCGGCAGAGAGGGAGGGAGGAAACTGAAGGGACGTCATCCATAAGGGACAGCAGCGGGACACGCGCTGGGGTAAGGGACGCTTGACCGCTAGGACGAAGGCGCTTTCCCATCCTACCGGCTACCACTGGCCCAGGCTGACTCCCGACAGCTCTCCCTCCAGTCACCTCGGCGGCCTCGACTTCTAGCTGCCCTTTAGCCAAAGGCCCGGAAGCTGCGTTCACTTCCGCCCACAGGACCCAAGTCACGCCAGGCACGGCGCACGCGCGGCCTTCAGCTCCCCCGGCCAATCCCGACGCCAGGCCAGCACGTGACCTGCCCGGCGCCTGCCCCGCCCACTCGCCGCTCGCGACGCGGCTCCTTCTCCCGCCCGGAGTCTTCGGTCGGCGGAGGCCGCCTGCCTTTCGCGGCGAGGATGGTCCTGCGCCGGCTGCTGCTCGCCCTGCTGAACGACCACCGGCTCCTGGAGCGGCTGGCGGAGGCGAGGCCTATCCGGGCGGCGGCGCGCCTCACGGCCGCGGCCCTGACGCGCGGACTGCGCCTGCGCGACAATTTCCTGCGCGAGCTGAAGGAGGAGGCCAAGGCCAGCGGCTGGTCCAATGAGGGTCGCGGAAAGGACAAGGGGCGGGATCCCTGAGGAAGGACGGAGCCCAAGACGGACGCTGAGGGCGGCCAATAGCGGACTCGGGCCCGCCGCGTCTCCTGCCGGCCAATGGGCGAGGCTGCGAGCGCCCCCTGGAGGAGCAAGCGGCGAATAAAATGGGCGGCCCGCCTTGCCCCGCCCGCTCCGCCTTCCTGCGTCCGCGTCTGTCTTGCGTGCGGGGGAGGGAGGAGGCGGTCGCCATGGCAGCGGCCGGGTGGAGGCTTGGCCCCGACCCCATTTTACGGCTGTGGAAACTGAGGCTGGCGAGGTCCCCGCGCTGAGCTGGAGTCCCAGGCCGAGCCCACCAGAGACGCAGCAACCCCCGCCCCGCTCCCTCCCCGGACAGCCTCCCCGCAGGGAGACCTGGAGCCGCCTCCGCAGTTGAGTCCCCCCGAGATTCTCCTGGGGCTCTGCTTGGAGGCAGAAGCAGGCCCCGCCCTCTGGCCCCGCTCCTCTTCCAGCAGCCACTTCTCCTTCCTGTAGCAGGGAGTTCCACAGGACTGGGCCAGTGACACCAAAGGGCACGACTCCTTCTTGTCAGACGAGCCTCACCAACTCAGGGAATGACCAGCGATGGTTCTGCAGATGACCTCTGTGATTGAACTGGGGTATGATAAGGGTTCAGGTGGTCGCTGGGGTATCCTGGACCCAAGGACCTTGAACCCGACTCAGTAGTAAGTGGACAGCCAGTGCAGCTGTTTGAACAATGGCCAGATGCCCACCGCCACCACTGCAGTCCGGTCGCTGCGTTCTCCCATCAGCTGGTGCTTCTGAACCAAACCCAAAGACAGCTCCACACAACAGTGTTGTGTTTCCTTAGAAAAGTTTGAGATGGCTCACAACTTAAAAAACATAAAATGCAATAAAACAATTGCAAAACTAAACAGAATTGCAGAGCAAGAAACAAAAGCAGTTAAGACAGCAGCAATGCTGTGTTTAAAAACACCCGTAAAAAAGAAATGTAGGTTGTTGCTAAAGTCTGATCTTTAATGTTAAATGCAGCATCTTGAATTGGGCTCAAAGAATGAGGAAGTCAGTGCAGTTGCTTTTGCTCTGAAGTAACATGTTCCCTCCCAGTGCATGGTTTTTGTCAGCATCTTAAGCTGTAAATTTTGGGCAAACTGCATCTGCTGTCCCAATGTAATAGCCAGCTCTGCATTCCCCAGTTTGTGGCACAGTTGGCACACCAGCCCCCTAACTGTGTGGTGCCACTTTGGCATCCAAATCCAGAAACGGCTCTGAGGCTATGGACCTATCCAGGAGAGGCCAAACCTGTTTCTAGATGGTTTGTTTTCTTCTTGTGATTTGGAAGTTGTACTGTTTGGAACTGCCTTTGCCTATTTAGCCCTGCGAGGAAAACCTCCCCTGCATAATCGAAGGAGCAGACAGACCAGGAGGACTTTGACTTGTGCCTGGAAATGGAATAAGAGCTAGTGGAGCTCCCAGTATGTGCATCCATCCAGACTTAATGATCAGGCCAAAGTCACCATGTTTTGCAGTAGAACTGTGGGATAGGGGGCCTTGAAACAAAATGCTGCAGTTGCCACCAGGGATGCTTTTGTTATGGGCTGCTCCAGCCAGCCTGGAACAAGGAAAAGAAAAAGCAGTTTTCTTAAAACAACAAAAACCCTTACCTTCTTGAAATCTTCACAAGCTTGGCTATATATGTAGCCTAAAAGGCTTCAGTTGAGGGCTGACTGCCAGTTCCAACCTGGAGCACTTTGAACATAATAGAAAGCTACTTTGTACCAGGTCAGGCAAGACCATGACCTATTCTGACTGACACCAGTTCTCTAAGGTGGAGCTTTTATCCTGGAAGTTTCTTTGTTTACAACATACAAACCAAGTGCTCTACCAATAAACTGTGATTTCTCCACCTATTATTATGGTTGTTATTATTAATGTTGTTTATATTTATCATTACAGTTCAGTTTTAAAAACCAGTCCAATCCAATATACTTTATTGCTCTGAGGAAGGGAAGGATATGTTCTTTCCCCCACTTCTTCCCTCCTGAAGCCTTGCATATAGCAGCAGCAGCAGCCTGGAGGCGGCAGTGCTGCCCTCCGAACACCAGTGTCACTCCTACTACCTGGATAGGACTGGCATGAACCTGTGGGGGCCACCAATGGAGCAAATTGGGGGCAGGCTTTGGGGCATTGATTTTATTATATATATACATAGAATCATAGAATCATAGAGTTGGAAGAGACCACAAGGGCCATCGAGTCTAACCCCCTGCCAAGCAGGAAACACCATCAGAGCACTCCTGACATATGGTTGTCAAGCCTCTGCTTAAAGACCTCCAAAGAAGGAGACTCCACCACACTCCTTGGCAGCAAATTCCACTGTCGAACAGCTCTTACTGTCAGGAAGTTCTTCCTAATGTTTAGGTGGAATCTTCTTTCTTGTAGTTTGGATCCATTGCTCCGTGTCCGCTTCTCTGGAGCAGCAGAAAACAACCTTTCTCCCTCCTCTATGTGACATCCTTTTATATATTTGAACATGGCTATCATATCACCCCTTAACCTCCTCTTCTCCAGGCTAAACATGCCCAGCTCCCTTAGCCGTTCCTCATAAGCCGTTCATCATACGTGTGTGTGTGTATCATAAAAATGTATCACAGCACTTTACAACATAAACACACAAAACCCAACAATAAAATAGCAACAAGTTCAAAGCAAAAAGAAATGTAAAACACATTCACCGGTCCAGCCTCACTACCGCCCTTCCCCATGCCAGCCCATCCAGGGAAGCTGCAGCAACAATGGTCAGGAGGACAGCTCCACATGGGCTACTGCTGGGGCACCAAGAGGGTTTTTCTGGGGCCAGTACACTAGATGCATTGCAATAGAGGACACTGATTTGCATAATAATTGCAAATGCTTTGAGTCATGCAAAATTATGTGATTTCTTGCAGGTGGTGTGGAGGCCCCAAAAATAAATTGGTGGTGACACAAGTAATAAGACAGAATGTGAATAGATGAAGCTTTCCCCATAATTGTATTTCTATTCTGCAAAAGGCTGACCTGTTGAATTTCTGCCTGCTACACAGCTGGTAAAGGCAGTAGAGCCAGGGGCATGCTTTGTGAGGATATTATTTATTATTATTAATTTTATTACCCATCCTTCACCAGTGGGCTTACAGCACTCTAAATCTCAAAACTGAGGACAGTTACAATCACAGGAATAGAGTGGGCTCTGAAAGTGCAGGTGTCAAGGCTATGGTAAATGTATGTAGAGCTTGTTTGTAGGAAGAATAGACTAAGTATTTGTTCATTTATTGTATCCCACCACGTGTCCTAAAACACCTCAGGGTAGTTTACAAAACAAAAAAACAGCAATTACATTTTTTAAAAACCAGCATTTAAAATTATTATTAAACCAAAACTATCCTAAATCACAACAACGGGCAACAGTATCATAACAGCAGAATCACAGAATCGTAGGCTTGAAAAGGACCCACAAGGATTATCTAGTCCAACCCCTTGCAATACACAGATATACACAGCTACCAAAATTCCCAATACAGATTCCACAATAGGGGAACAACCACTTGTATCTAATCTAACCTCAGAGGACCGCTTAGTTATGAAGGGCTTAGGACCAAGGGAGGCTTACACCTTTGCGATGGTCAGACCCAGCATTTAAAATTATGCCCAGAAACCAAGGGAAAGCTACTGCCGGGGCTGGCCCAATACATTTTGGGTTTTTTTTAAAAAAAATAATATTTATTAAAGTTTCAAACAAAGTTACAATAATACAAAAAAAACCCAAAAATAAAAAAGAGAAAATAAAATACAAAAAAAACAGGAAAAATAGAATAACAATTAAAAACAAATCAGTATTTCCATATCTTATCTTTCGTTCACTTGTTTCCCGGACCTCCTCACACCTCCCTTTTTTGCATCCCAAATCAGTTAATTAATTCAGCAAATCCTTTCCCTCTTTGTTCTTATCTTAATCCTTTATCTTAATATATTTTTACTTCAAATTCCCATCTATTAACAATCCATTTTTACATAGACCTTAATAACATTGCTGCTAAAACCACTTAACTTCATTCCAACATCATTCTAACATTCATTAATTTTACAATATTTCTGTAAATAGTCTTTAAATTTCTTCCAATCTTCTTCCACCGACTCTTCTCCCTGGTCTCGGATTCTGCCAGTCATCTCCGCCAGTTCCATATAGTCCATCACCTTCATCTGCAATACATTTTGTCACCTGAGGCAAACCATAAAATTCCCCCACACCTGGGAAGAAGACGGTGGCAGAGTTTTACGTCAGGGATAAGGGTGGAAGGAGACCAGAAGCGCTTTCTGTTCCCCAAGAGGCTGCTGGGGAGGGGGGCAGATCTAAAGCACTCTGCAGCTGTCACTGCCAGCACAGCAGCAGCAGCAGTGGGCAATGCATTCCTTGGAGGCTGGATTTGCTGCTCTTGTGGCTTCTGCCAGCCGAGGCAGCCAATTTCTGTGTCTTCTAGTGGAGAATTCACATTGCCATCTGGGTTAGAAAGGATGCCAGAAGTGTTTGCACATTGTTGCAGGGGGAGTGGCTGTGTTGCTCCAGAAGGAAGCCACGAGGGTTGCTGTGGCAGAGACTGACCCAAGGCATTTCATCTGCAGGATCTGAGGGTGCTAAATAGCAGCTCCCCACCTCAGTACAGTCTTACGACATATCTTGATTTTGGACACTTTCATTTTCTAGCAGATAATGTTCCATGCCATCAATACTGATGCAATCATGTGCCCTTTGGTCCCTTACTAACAAAGGAGGAGTTTGGCAGTGGCAACTGCGGTGCATAAAGCAAACTTTTTGCAAGGGCCTCTTTCTGGCTTCCAAACGCAAAGAGCACCTTTCAAAGGCAGTTGCCACAAGTGCCCTTCAACTTGGAAGTTGAAGAAAGGAAATGGGTTGCTTGGGGTGACACAGGACTGTGACACAGTGTTTGGTGGGTGAGGTGTATTGGGAGATTTCTACCAGCAAATGGGAGCTACAAAATGCACCTGGTCTATATAGGGCTGAGAATAACGAGGGTTGTTGTGGACTGCATGTTTGTGCGCCAAATGTTCTTTAGCTTCTTTGCTTAGCTCACCTTGATGCTAGATGCTCTTTTGATTTCTCTCCAGATACAGGATATGTAGTCCTAACTGGCTTCTCCACTTTTCACTAAGGAGAAAGGACATTTGTGGTGGGTCTTCCATCGTCAGATGTGGAAATATTACTGTCTCCTTCTTGACCAGTAACGGACATTGCTCTATTATGGTTCTGACGGTGCCTGGGATGATAACCAGCACCTGGCAAGTCATTTCCTTGCCCAGCTCTCTATTGAGACAGGCAGGACCATTCACTATGGATCCCAGAATCTGGCAAAGGAAGCTTTTCTCGGCCCCAGCCATGTCGACCAGCTCCACCAGCGTGTTGCTCTTGTTAACATTAAGCAGAAACCTGGGAGGCATGTAGGTCCGAGCAAAGAGTAGTGTGTAGTGTGTGCGATGGCTCAGGGACTCTGGGGAATGGGTGAGCTGCTCCAAGTGGAAGAGGCAAGGGACTATGCCTCCCTGGTGGAAGCAGCCAAAGAAAAGGGCACCACAGAGATTGAACACAAGGTTGATGGATTTCCACTGCTGGGCCTGTCTATGCTGCGTGGCCAAAAGGACCAGAGGCAAGATGAGAGGGATGAGGAAGCGAGGTTCTTGATGGCTGAATAAAGAAAGAAGTGCCAGAGGGATAAAATAGAAAGCCAGCAGTGCCAGCCTGCCTTCTGGGCATGTGATGGCTGAATGTGAGCTCCTCTTCAAGGCCTTCAACCACATAAATTGGCTGATGTGCACTTTCAGGAGTTTGATGCCATTGCTAACAGCTTCTACATGAAGGATCCCAAAAAGCAGGACCCCGTTAACGGCAAAATGTGTAAGATGCGGGTGAGTCCCGTGTTGTGCCAGGTTATCAGGGTTGAGGTTATAGGTGAGGAAGTTCAAGGGAGTCACAACGACACTCTGGCGCAGCCTGGCAAGGATGCTCAGTGGGCTGGCCTCATAAAAGCTGTGCAGGCTAAGTCCTGACAGGGGAGAAGTGAAATACCAGGTGTCAGCAGCTATGAAGAAAACAGCAGTAAAGGCGGCACTTGGGGCAAGACAGAGAACATGCTGTATTGTTCTTCTAACGCTTTGCTGGCATGTAGCACCTGCACATACCCAATGCAACAGCGGCACCAAAGCAAATGCCAGAAACGTTGGCCTGTTAAAAAATCCAGCAACTATGATCATCCCGATAAGTTTGTGATTTAGAGGATTCTGCCACCGACAGGCTGAGGCCGAGGTTTCGCTGGCTGCTTTTGAAGACACTAGTAGAAGCAGCAAGGCAAAGAGAAGTCCTTCCACAGTGTTAGCAAAAGTCCTCGTGTAAAACACAAGTGTGACGTAGGAGCCAGCAAGCAGAGCCAGTGAGTTCCACGGATCCGCTCCCCACAGAGGAGCCAGCTGGTAAACACTGTAGTCAAGGATGAATGAAAAGATGGTGAGGAGGAGGCGGGGTGAGACGAGGAGGGTGTAGCTGGTGATGCAGCTGGTCGAGAGGCCCAGGTGCTGAAGGGCTTTGATGGCCCAGAAAGCAGCTCCAGATGTGATCAGGGGAAACACTACAGTCCTGCAAGGAGACTTGGGGAGGAATTCCCAGGGGTGGTAAACCTTTAAGTCCAATATGCTGCCTGAGGAGGAGTGGGGAAAGGTTAACACAGGTAATAGCTGGAACCCTGTCAGCTAGAAACCTGCCCCCCGCCCCAGTGACCTGCAACATAAGATTAGAAAAGTTAAAAATAATTGAAGTCTTTGACTCACTGAAATAAAAACAAAGAAAGAATCTGATTAAAAGCAGAACCAACTGCAGAAGATCAATAATTCAGCAGACTCAGAATTGCTCTTGTTGCTCTTTATAAACCAGGCTGCCTATATGTGGCCTGTTTGGAACAATGGAGGAAATGGAAAGCAGCTCACCTGCCATGTGGTGGGGGCCTAGAATTTAACTCGTCACCGACCCCCCCCCTCCCAAAGACCTTTTTGAAACCAGGTACAAAGGACTGTCCACAAAGACTAGGTTTTGTAAAAACACAAAACCTTTTCATACCACATACATAAGATGTCAGCTTTACCTGCCATGACCTCTGGAGACTGGAAAAACTCATCTGGGTGCAGGTAGCCAGTCTGAGGAAGAAGACACCAGCCAACTCTAAGCATGCAGAGAACTCTCCAAAAGGTTTTGGGTGAAGCCATCACCGTTTCACCAGACCTGCCTGGATTGGAAGGTCTGGAAACAGCAGCAGTCCTCGTTGTCAAAAGCCAGCCCTGAAAAGGACAAAATACTTAAAGCACAAAACCCGATTGAGCATTGTTGGTGACAGAAATAATTCCTAGTTAGACAAATACTGACACCTTTTTCAAGCCTCACCCCTTAAGATAAAAAGTAAAGGTCCAACAACAATTTACAGTCTTTCCTCTTCCCTCCCCTCTCAAGAGCAAAGAAGAAAAAAGCAAGTTATAACTGTATATCCTTTAAAATATAGAAGAAGTGGTTACAGACAGTAAATCACTGGGGGGGGCATCTTAAAGATCAGTCACTTAAGCTTCTCAGTTTGACAACCCTACCCCCCTTCCTTTATTTCTGATGGCAGACTTTTTATTTGTACCTTTATTTTGTCCAACAGCTTATTCCCATGCAAGGCAGCAACCATTTCCGGAGTAGACTCCCTTTTCGTTTTCCAGACAATACAACAAATAGTTCCAATAGGTTAAATAATTCACAATTAATCCTTTTGTTCCTTTGGTTAAAATTTTGGAAACTGACCACTCCTGAGACAGGGCAGCCTGCTGCTGGACTGTGTCAGAGCCCAGCGACCATGGCTCCCGTTGGGAGCTTGTTTGGTCACCGCAGGACCCCTCAACGTCCTGGTCATCCCCAGGACCTTCTTCAGGGCTCTTGTTGCCTCCGGGCTACTCCAAAACTCCAAAAAAGCAGCAGCTTCTTTAAAAGAGGCCTTACCATCTGAAATAACTCTGCTGGTCGGCTCCTAGAGGATGCCATGCAAGCTGCAAACTGAGCCTTCTTCGCAGCCCACACTACCACATGGCACACCTGATTATGCGCTTTGTTCAGTTGGCTTCAGAGCACGACTTGCATCATTTGCACACTAATCTTTGTCCAGCTTGCTTCATAGTCCAGAGTTCTCCAGGATGCCAAGGGGCCACTTGAGTTTTACTAAGCTGGACAGGATACTTGGGGGTAATTGTGTCATCGCATTGCATAGCGAGACCGGAGCTTTGACATGATCACAGCTTTATCCACTAGAAAATCCCCAGAGCTTTCAAAAACATAATAATAATAATAATAATAATACAGTAAATTTTTTTATACCCCGCCCTCCCCAGCCAAGGCTGGGCTCAGAGCGGCTTACAAGCAATAATAAAAACAAATTGAATGATTACAACTTAAAAACAAAATTAAAATACAACATTAAAATATGGAAACATTAAAATATTAAAATGTAGCCTCATCGCAGGAGGAGAAGGAAAGGAAAAAAGAAAGAGAGGGAGGGAGGGAGGGAATAAAATTGACTCCAAGCCAAAGGCCAGGCGGAACAACTCTGTCTTACAGGCCCTGTGGAAAGAAATCAGGGCCCTGGTCTCATGAGGCAGAGCGTTCCACCAGGCCGGAGCCAGAGTTGAAAAGGCCCTGGCTCTGGTTGAAGCCAATCTAACTTCCTTAGGGCCCGGGACCACTAGGGTGTTGCTATTTATGGACCTTGAGGCTCTCCCTGGGGCATACCGGGAGAGGCGGTCCCGTAGGTGTTATGTACTGAAGTTCTCACTCTGGGCCAGCAGGGGGATACTGTAGATAGTTATGCAAATGAAGGATCGAAAAGTGACGTTCAGTGATTGGATAGTTTTAGAACGTTGCAACAGTTACAATTGTTCTGTAGCTCTATATAAGCAGGCTGACTGAGCTCCTCAGCTTAGTTCTGTTCCAGCTTACAAAATAAAGAGCTGCTTTGGAGAAATCGCTGTGTCGTCTGCTATGTCAACCCACAACCTAACAGTAGGTACGAGGGTCCTAGGCCGTGAAGGGCTTTAAAGGTCAAAAGCAGCACCTTAAATCTGACCCTGTACTCCACCGGGAGCCAGTGCAGCTGGAAAAGCACTGGGTGAATATGCTCCCATGGCAAAGACCCCGTGAGGAGCCTCGCTGCAGCATTCTGTACCCGCTGGAGCTTCTGGGACAGCTTCAAGGGCAGCCCCGCGTAGAGCGAATTACAGTAGTCAAGCCTGGAGATGACCGTCGCATGGATCACTGTGGCCAAAAACATATCAGTTCCATTAGCCTCTGAGGGCAGGCCATCTAAACAGGCCCACCAACCTTCCAGCAGGGAGTTGCCACTGGCACTCCAAGCTTTATTGGGCAATGATCCAACCATGGAAAGGGAGTGCATTTCACCCCAGCCCATCCTTTGTCCATTCCACATATCACTTTGGGCAAAGACTTGATACGGAGGGGGGGAGGCATGTCTTCTTCACCTTCTTCTTCGCTACAATATATCCATTTATTTCCAATTGTCAATGTCAAAAGGGACTAAAATCTATAAAATTCATAGAAAATCAACGTGCCAATTTGCTCAATTTCTCTAGGACTCCATGACACCTCCCCTGCCCTCCATAATCCCTCAAGCAAGGTGTCAAGACCCTAATCCTGTCAAATCACTCTGCCAAGCCTTTCCTCCGGGCAATGCCAGGTGGCAGGCTATGCATACATGGACCATTATCTTCTCATCACCGGTACTCAGGATGTGCTTATCTGCGCATATCTCCAGCTCTGCATATTCCCCCCTCCCTCCTCCATATGTTAATCCTGTGTAACCCAACCTCTTCTCAATGTATTCATGATGTAACTGGGATGTATTTTGCACTGTATTCTGGGACATGGAGGGAAGTTTCAAAAGTTCATGTCACCCCTTTCTCGCTGTTCAATCACGCCTTGAACCTGTTGCCCAATAAACTTGGATCTTCTGCAGTTTGCTCCTGTCTCCGGCTGAGCTCATTTTCCTCCGCAGGGACCCGCAGACTTAGTCTGACGAGCTGGGTGGCAGAGCAGCCTCGCACCCAGATTTTACCGTAACAGACTACATCTCCTTGATGTAGACCAATGGCCACTTGAGAGAGTCGCATGAGCTGGCCTAGTGGGAGCCAACATAATAATATTGAAGTCACCCAGAACTATCATCCTAGAGTCATCCATCAGTACCCCAGATATTACCTTGGCCAGCTCCATCAGAGAAGCTGCTGGGCGAAAGAGGTGGATTTGCCCTGCCAGACCTTAAACTTTATTATGAATCAGCTGCTTTTTGCTGGCTGAGAGAATGGCTGCTTCTTGAAAACACTGAAGTGCTGGATCTAGAAGGTTTCAATAATGCATTTGGTTGGCATGCATATTTGTGGTACGATAAGATAAAAGCACATAAAGCGTTTAAAAATCATATTGTTAGAAAAGCATTGTTTAATGTTTGGATAAGATATAAGGATTTGTTAGAAAAGAAAACCCCAAGATGGTTGTCACCATTGGAAGCGAAGGCACAGAAAAAACTCAATATGGAGGCCAAATGGCCGAAATATTGGGAAATTCTGGAACAAGATGGAGACAGAATAAAATTGCAGAGCTTTGAAAAATTGAAAAACAAAGTGCGAGATTGGCTCCATTATTACCAAATAATGGAGGCATATAAATTGGACAAAAAAGTTGGTTTCCAGGTGGAAAAATCAAAATTGGAAACAGAATTGTTAGATCCAAAAATTAAGAATTTGTCAAGAATGTATAACTTGCTGTTGAAATGGAACACTCAGGATGAAATGGTGAAATCAGCTATGATTAAATGGGCACAAGATGTTGGACATAACATAATGATGGCTGACTGGGAACAGTTATGGACCACAGGTATGAAATTCACGGCATGTAATGCCCTAAGAGAAAAATTAATGAAAATGATTTATAGGTGGTACATGACACCAGTCAAGCTTGAAAAAATTTACCATCTGCCCAACAATAAATGTTGGAAATGTAATGAGACTGAAGGTACATTCTTTCACCTTTGGTGGACATGCCCAAGGATTAAGACATTCTGGGAGATGATTTATAATGAAATGAAAAAGGTATTTAAATATACCTTCCTGAAGAAACCAGAGGCCTTTCTCCTGGGCATGGTTGGCCAATTGGTGCCAAAGAAGGATAGAACTTTCTTTATGTATGCCACGACAGCAGCAAGAATACTTATCACGAAGTATTGGAAGACACAAGATCTACCCACTCTGGAAGAATGGCAGATGAAGTTGATGGACTATATGGAACTGGCGGAAATGACTGGCAGAATCCGAGACCAGGGAGAAGAGTCGGTGGAAGAAGACTGGAAAAAGTTTAAAGACTATTTACAGAAACACTGTAAAATTAATGAATGTTAGAAGAATGTTGGAATGAAGTGATATGGCTTTAGTAGAAATGTTACAAGGAATTAAGTATAAATAGATTAATAGAATATTAAAGGAAAAATAAGGTTAGAATGTGTTAAGATAATTATAGGATAGAATACAGAGGAAGCTGGAAAGGAATTGCTGAAACAACTAATAGAAGTGGAATACAAAAAGGGAGGTGTGAGGAGGTCGTGGAAATAAGTGAATGAAAGATAAGATACTGAAATTGTTTGATGTGTTTTAAACTGTTTGTGTTTGGTTATGTTAGTTTAATGTGTACCGTAAGTGTTATGTATTGTTTTTGTATTGTATTGTTCTTTTTTTGTTGTTTTGTTTTTCTTTTGTAGTGTTGTGTTTAAATTGTTGGAAAAGTAATAAATATTTTTTTTTTTTAAAAGAGAAGCTGCTGGGCAACAAGGTGGTCAACAGACCATCAGCATTCCCAGCCTGTCTCTTTGGGCCAATGCCAGGCGGAGATTCTCTGAACCTGTCTAAAATCAAGAGTGGCTTTTTGGTAAAGGAGACGGTGCTTTATGCACAATAGCTACACACACACCCCTCAACCCTCCCCCATCGAGCCTTGTGCTGTACCAAGTACCCATATGGTCACAGCTGGGTATGGCCAAGCCCTCCCAGCTCACTCACCTAAGTCTCAGTAATGCAAGCCATGCCAGTCTCTTCATCCATGATAAAGTTGTAGATGATCATGGCCTTACTTTGCACCACTCTGAACAACAAGAAGAAACATGTTGGCTAATAATATACCAACAATATTTTTATGACACTATACTGTTTCAAAGTCTACTCATGATGACAATTCCCCCGCCTTTATCAGCTGGTTTTATGATAATGTTAGTATCATTTGAGAAGTCATTAAGGCAGGCATGTTGGGACTTGGTTAAATTGTCCTGGGTCCTAGGGCTCCTCTTTTCAAGTTTATCCAAATCACAGATCACCAATTGATGAAACAAAGTGATGGAAGGATTAAAACTGGGCGGGATAAAAGATGATTTAGGTCTAAATTGCTGTGGCTGTTGATCTCTGATACCAAACATGTCACGTAACTTAATATTACACACAAATTTATGTAAATCTACCCTGGTGCAAAAAGCATTATAGTGAGGCTTAGGAACAAAATCGAGTCCCAGTTATAGGACCTGTTTTTCTTCTGTTGTTAAGGAATGAGAAGAACTGCTTACTATTAGTATTTTCTTTCATCGATTGGTGATCCAACCTCCAATGACAATGGGTAGATCACTGCCAGGTGTGGGGTTTTTTACTGTGAGTAGATTGCAGTCTCTTGGAAGTTGGACATGCCTGACATATCCCATATATATTTCATGCATTCACCTGTGAAGCCAAGTTGAGGAGCTTCATAGTCACATACATAGTAGAATTAGATAGCTGATAAATCTCTTACTGATAAATTGTAGGGAAAACTAAGGGCACTCAAAATTAAAATCATTGAATCATAGAGTTGGGAAGGTTCCCAAGGATCATTCAAGGATCATCCCAGGAAATTCAACTAAAGCATCCTTGACAGATGGTTAAAAACTTTCAAGAAAGGAAAGTTCACCACTTCCCATTTCACTGTTGATCAGCTCTCACTATCAGAAATTTCTTCCTGATGTTTAGTTGGAATCTCCTTTCCTGTAACTTGAAGTCACTGGTACCAGTCCTCCCCTCTGGAGCAGGAAAAATCAAACTTGCTCCATCTTCCATGTGACAGCCCATTAGATATTATCATATCTCTTCTCATTCCCGTCTTTTCCAGGCTAAATGTACCGTTAACATATTCAACCATTCCTCATATGGCTTGGTTTCCAGACCC